GGAGATGATTGATACCTTTTCCAAGTCAATGAACAGATAATCCATGATGGATTTTCCTAGCGGTCCTTGCCAGAACGGCAGAAATGGGGCTTTGCTCGCTGTGCTGTCGGCTCAGCCTGGAGGAAGAAGAGCTGCAGGTATTTTTGGGAGCAGGGAAAGAAAGAGCACTTGCATTGCAATTGTAGACTATGCATTATGGCTATAGAAGGCTGCGATCTAAATAAACAGGAGCACAGGAGGGTTAACAGAGCCCTCACTACTCACGTCTGTCTCTCTGACTCTCCCTGTTCCTCTCCAGCAATATCTGGGCAGGGAAGCTGCAGTGCTTTGTTCTGCCCTCACTCAGCAGGAATATGGATTTTTCGACCCAATAACAATGGTCACATTGAATAAATTTTGCCACCTTTGCCACATGGCCCCCTTTATTTTCCTAAAAAGAAACCCCTGGGGTTGACTGTCTTTTATACACTTAAGACAAATTAAAGACTCTCAAATGAAAATGCAGCAGTTTCACACCAACTTGAGATGCCTCTTGCACTGGCTGGAGAAATCAAAAATTAATTGTGCTCCCAACAGAATGGAGTCAATTGTTCACATTTATTACAGGATAATGAARTTTTCCAAGGGGAACTTTCCCACCACATTGCACACCCAGGACCGTGCCAGGACTGTGCACTGCTCTAAAYTCTTCACTAAAAATTCTGTGAGCGTGACAGAGAGAAGCACCTCATATTTGAAGATTCCTCTCTCAAGCAAATCTCCTTTTATCTTTGTCCCTCAGGATTTATTTCCTCTGTCACACTCCGAGTGCTCCATCTTTGCAGCACAGAATGTGACATTACCTGTTCTTTATGATCTTGGCAGGAACTCAGAAAGGTAAGGAAGAGATGAGAGCAGCTGTGCAASAATGAGAGAGCAGGGTGCAAATTTCCTACCTGTTTCAGGAGCCATTKAATCTGCCTTCTCCTCCAATGTTTGCTTTCTCCCAAAGGAGATTTCTTCTCCTTYCCTTCTCTTCTGCCTCCTGAACCACCTGCTGCAGGAGCCTCTCTCCTTCCTCTGACCCTACAGCACACAAGAKCAGTGACCAGCAATCCCTGGCTTGAGATTCCTGTGGGAAACCCCACAAACTACTGCTCAAGGGCCTGTGAAAAGTAAATGSAAAAACCATTCTGGCATCCACAGGCTTAAATCTGTTACTGTGCTATCCATGTGGCCACTGGACTTTTTTTTTTTTTCCTCAGGGAGTTTACAGCTCCAGAATAAAAGGTTGGAAACTGCTGGTATGCAGTGGAATTCATTGCTGCAGTTACATCCCTTAATAATTTAAGATGTTAGTTACCCCCTATATGAGATGGTGACCCTGAACCACCTATTTTGAGTTTCTTTTATTTCAGATCAAACCTTACACCAACACTGTGCTATCACAAACATTGCCTCCTCACCTCTGAAGGATGTCTCCATGGGAATGTGTTCATCCTCATTAAGTCCATTCAAATATTGTCAATATGATATTTTTTCCCAGCCTAAAATTCAACCACTGAGGAATTCACCTTTTTTTTCACTTCACATTATCACTTCCCATCCGCAGCAGGGGATGCTTAGGCTGAAAATCTCACACTGGCTATTAATCCTTCCAGGAGTGAGAAAACCTCCTTTATCTCATCTCATAATTTCTTTCTTTCCCCWTGAAAACAAACCCATCACCCATAATCTTGCTTCAAACACATTACCTACTTCACCACGGGCTGTTCTCTAGGGTTTGAACAACCTCAAGGTAATACAGTGATTTAAAGTGAGCTTTTCCACACTATTCCCTTCATCATTAATTCACACKCGGCATATATGCACTGTGCAGGGAGGAACAGCAGGAAGATCCCTGAGCCAACACAGACTGGAGCTGGGTCAGCCCCCCAAAAGCACCGTGACTGCAGGAATTTATAACAGTTTGGCAACCCAGTCTGCAGTGGCTGCTGAGCAGCTTTCCATATGGGCTGTAGGCTGGGCATTAGGAGGTTGAGACACATGGCTGAGTGGCCCCATAATAAGCTGTGACTAACAGTTGGGCTGTGCTAACCAACATTTGCATTCCACTCCTATAAAATGTAAAATTCAGCTTAAATATCTCTCCCTGCAGTTTGTGCCAACATCACTTGGCATTTGCAGAGGGCTGAAAGCACACTCACTGAGCTGCTGTAGGCCAGCTCATGCAGGTACCTGACCCTTTAGTAGCATTTTCATGCCATAAAATACATTCAAACCAACCTCCAGACCCTACACAACTGCACTGCAAGTGCTGTTCTGCTCTGCTCATCCCACACCTCCTTCCCCTCTCACACACACCCCTCCTGTGGGCTTWACTCTGCCATTTTAATCCACTTTCTTTTGAGTTAAGCCTAAATTACCTCCTACCCTTCACACCTCAGTGATATTGGCATTTCTCTACCTCTCTGCTCCCTCATCCCAGCTGTCACCCTCAGCGCTGCCTTCACTCCCCTAAGTCATGAGGGAGACCTGTCACTGTTCTCCTTTCCGTGTAAAATTAACAGAATGCTAAGTCCTAATTAATATTTCCATATTATCCACAGGGAGTGGTTCCCTCTGGCTTTTTGGAGTCAGCAGAGTCACAAACACTTTGCTGACTTTGTAGCTTCTTCAGACCTGGGCAATTATTGAAAAATCCCATCCTGGGATTAGAATTCCCTCTTCCCCTTTATTCACTAACAGCTCCCAGCTCCTGACCTACACTGTTCCATCCAGCCACTTATAAAACACCAATACCATGCCTTTCCTCTCATTTTCATCTCATAATTTTACTTTGCCTTTTATGTATATTTTTTTTCTGCTGAATTGTGCTGTTTGGTTGCATAAAGAAAAAAAAACAAAGACCAGAAGCCTGTCCCATGAGCTGCCAGACACCCAACCACAGCCCCAAATGGAATTAAAGTTGATTTTTTTTGCAGGCTACAGAAAGAACCAGCCAGAAACYGCACAGAGACTCCTGAGAGAAGGTGGTTCACGATCAGATGAGACCTTCATGATGCTAAAACCAAGAATCCAAAGCTCCTTAAAAAAAACCTAGGTGGGTCAGCACCCTGTGAACTCCCTCCTTTGCTTATCAAGAAGGGTATTAATGAAATTCCAAGCATCCTTCCCTAGGCTGGTGCAGGTCCTGGTGGGTGGCAATGGTTGGGTTGGGTCCTGGTGTGTCTGAGCTGCTTTTGCCAGGTTCCATTTCCATCCCTCCTTGCCAAGGCCAGGCTGTGGCTATTAGAGAAAGAATGACCATGAGGCAGAGGTGCCTTTTGAATTCACAGACAGAATTGGCAAAATATTTTGAACTTCTGGCATGGACAGGACAGAGCTCCCAGCAGCCTCTGAGTATTTACCTGAGGGTGGAAAACTGCAGGTGACAAGAAAGTAAAAGTTTCCTTAAACTCTTACCTTCAGTCTATCTTTTAGCAAGTCTGAATCTGCAGAACTCTACATCCCAGAATCTAATTTACACACAGAGCAGCCTCACATCCTGCACCCTCAAGATAAATAAATGGCTAAATTGAAATACTAATTATTGTAAAGTCTTGTTCATTCAATTATTTTTTCTTCTCCAAGATTACCCTGAAGACCTCTGTGATTAACTACTCAAACACACTTCTTTAGAAAAGCAATTTCTTAGCTTCTAAGAAGTCAGAATGAGGTCCAGAACCGTGGCAAAACACATCTGGTGTTTGTTTCAGAGAAGGAGACTTGCACAGGCATTTTTGCAGAATAAAACAAAAGTTGTTTTGCTTAAGAGGAGAAGTTTCTGTKCCTGGCTAACACTGCTCTTTACAGGTGTCAGATTAGGTTTCTGTGTATGTACATCACCTTTCCCACAGCTCCAATGGCTTTCCATTCTGAAGCTTGCAGGGCCTGGAAATATTGAGGAAATCTTGCCTAAAACCAATTTTAAGAACCTTCAGACTTTTAAACTCTTGAGCAGAAACGTTCTTTTCTCTCTGTTCACACAGTGCCTAGTTCAGCAGGGTTCTGGYGTGACTAGGGGTCCTAAGCTCTACAGCAATACAAATAATAAATAAAAAATAGTCATACATAGTATATGAGCAATAATACCTACTTCATACCCTTGGTTGTCAAAGACACACTGCACCCCAGCAAACGCTTGGAAAACGCGGTAACGCAGTTACCGAAGTTGCAAGACAATTAATGCAAATTTGTTTGATGCAAATATTCAACCTTAAGGTTCAAGTGGCTGGGAAACTCCTCAATGGTGTGGCTTCACCAGCAGAGAAAGGAAACAGACCAGAGGGATGGAACTGGCTCATGCACAGCCCTAGAAGTCGAGCAGAAACTGGGAGGAAATAATTTTTGTGGAGGTAAGGAATCCATGAACAGCTGCTCATCTCCACCATCTATTTTCATGCTTAAAGGGTCTACAGTGGGAAGAGAATTCCAGCGTTGACTTTCTTTTTTCCTCTTTTTTTTTTTTTTTTTTTTTTTTTTTTTTTTTTTTTTTTTTTTTTTTTTTAAAAAAAAAAAAAAAAAAAAAAAAAAAAAAAAAAAAAAAAAAAAAAAAAAAAAAAATGAAAGGCTGGGACTTGAGAACAAAATTATAAATTAAAAAGGAGACATTTAAAAGAGAATTTCCTAAGGGTTTCATTCCTTCCCCACTCTGCAGCAAGCAGAGCAAAAATACAATCCAAAAGAGGAGAGAAGTCAGAGGGGATTAGAAAGTCCAGTCTTTCAGCCTGTCTCCCATTTTGCTAATTTTTACAGTAGGTTATTTAAGAAGCAGTAGATGTTCCAATAGAAAGCAGGCAGCAGCACACACAGGCATCGGCTCCTCCTTCCAGCGAGGTCTCTGCAGCCTCAGTCTCTTGCTCCAGGAAGGAGAAGTTTTCCTTCCCACACTCCTTACTGCCTTGCAGTGTGGGCCAGGGGAGAAGCATCTGCCAGAGTTTGGGGTCTGGCACGTTGTGGGGTCCCCTCCCTTCACAGGGCTAAAAGGAACTCAAGTATTCCAGTGCAACCTCRTATACAAATTTATACTGTTCCTGGAAGAGAGAACACAGAGAGGTGGCATTAGGGTATGAGTATATCCCTCAGAACCTCATTCTATGAGCACAAACACCTCCTGCCTCTTTCTGACAGCCTTTGGCACGACCAGACAARCCCTGGTTGTGTTCCTGTGGGATCCTGAGCGAGCACTGGTGGGAAATGGAGTYGTCAGTAGAAGGGAAAAGCACTCCAAGGGACAGCCCCAACCTGGGCTATTCATTATTTGCCTCCAGCCCTCACTGCACGTGTTGCTTTAGAGGCACAACCTCAGTGTGATCGATGGGGATGATTGAATCCAGGACAGTTTAATCTCYTGGGCTGCAGGGAGCCAGGCCTGGGGCTGAACTGGTCTCCCCTCCTGGTTTCCAGCCGTGTCAGAGCACCCAGCACAGGAGGACAAACCCCTGCATGGACAGCAGGACAAATCCCACTATTCCCACAGTCCCTCTGTGGGGTTTGACCCACTGAGGCATCTGGGCATGGACACAGTGTCCATCACCCTGCCCCTCTTCTCAAAAAGAAAAGCAGGAAGATTTACTGACCATGCTAAAACAGGACCAGTTTTAATTCTGATGGCTTCATGTACAAAATTCATTTTGATTCACCCTGAAGCAAGGCATGACATTTTCTCACCTATCCTGAAGTCCCTGGCACACACTGGGTGGGGGAGTGAGCAGAGCAAAGCCTTACCAGYGACTCCACCATGTTGGATTTGTTATTCCGCAGCGTTTTCACRATGTGGAACACGTCGATGATGTTTTGCTGCTGGATCATTTCGCACACGCTGCAGATGGCGCAGAAGGTGCCGCTGCGTCCTCCACCATTCCTGRGAGTGGGAGGAAAGGGGTGGGGGTGAAGCTGGAGAGGTTGAGGGAAGGAGAGAACACAGATCCCACCCCGTGGACACTGAGGAGGGCCTGGAATGTAAGGGCTGGTCATGGATATTCAAGGGGCTCTGAGAGGGGCTGGGGAGGGACTTTGGACAAGGGCAYGAGGAGGAATGGCTTCCAGAGGGCAGGGTTAGATGGGATACTGGGGAGAAATTCTCCCATGAGAGTGGGGAGGCCCCAAGACCAGGCTGGACRGGACTTGGAGCAGCCTGGGACAGCAGAARGTGTCCCTGCCATGGCTGGGGTGGGATGGRATGGACTTTGAGGTGCCTTTYAACTCAAACCGTTCTGTGTTTCCRTGGAAGTGAAGACCTGTAGGACATGAGGCAGGGATGGAARGGCTGAGGAATTCCTGGMAGYRCTGGACAGGGGCACTCAGGGACTKCTCYTCCCTGCTCTGGGGCTCTCAGCAGTTCTGTGCTCAGAGCTGGGCAYGGGGCAGGGCTGCCTCGGCTCTGTCTGGGTTCCAGTCACAACACTACAGCGTACCGGGGCTTTTGGAGCTAATCAACAAAACCCCTGGGCCAGGGTGCCATAAAGCAGCACAATATTCAACCTGAAGTATATCACAAATGCACTTTAACTCCATTTTCCCCAGCTGAAGCAGCAGATCCCCACAGCCAGCCATGCTCAGCCAGCCCCATGTCATAAGGCCCCACAGCCATATGGCCGCCCTACTCACAGGCAGTGCACCACGGTGCGCCCGTCCCGGCCGTCGTACTGCTCCTGCCACTTCTCCAGCCGCCGGACCACCTTGAGCAGGGAGCGTTTGGAGGGCGGCGTGTCCCTGTAGGCCGGCCAGCCGATGTACTGCAGGTGCTGCACAATGCG